TAGTTATAATCGTGTCTGCACACTTAGAAATGTGTCAAAAGTACAACTTAAATAGTACTCCGTTAAATTATCTTCGCCATTTCTGAATTAAAAATATTTCTTTTTTGCATCTCTAATAAATACATCTATATTTAATTAAAAGTAAACAATAACATATAAAACACATCACCTAGTGTTATACAAGGCAGGAGAGGGCATTACGTTAGTAATTGCTTTGCACAAAATATACTCGTATATATAATATAACGAGAAACGGGAATAAATAGGCTAATAAAAGGTTGGCTTATCATTGCCTGTGTATACACTTCCTTTTTTATACAAATAAGAGTGACATACGAGTACACAGTACATTTAATGGTAAGTGGATACTGTGGTTCATAGATAGCTACATCTATGATCAGTCAGATGCTTGGCCAAAAACCCTTTTGTTGTTCACTTACGAAGCATTCGAACTAAACGGTTTGCTACATTGTTCGTTATGAGTGCAGCAAAGAAGTGGAATAAGTAGCCAGCGTATGTCTTCCCATCCGAATAAAATTTGTGTCTTCAAGGCAAGACTGAATAGGCTTTTGTTAAGTCAGTGATAAACCTTAAGTTGTAGAGGTCACATCTAATGAAGTCAACACTCCGTCCCTCTCAAGCTCAAATCCAAAGCCCCGAAAATACAAATAGTTTTCAGTATCTAAAGGAGTGTAAAGTAGTGGACGATATGAATGACAAGATCGTGGAAACAATTAAAATAGAATAGAATAAAATAGAATGGAATAGAATAAAATAAAATACAATAGAATGAAATAAAATAGAACATAAATGAAGATAATAGATTAGAATAAAAGAATAGAATAGAGCAGAATAATAAAACAGAATAAATTTCACTCAATAAAGATCACATGTTGAAAGTCATTTTTACTTTTACCATTGGTTCAGAAAAGACTTCTGTTCTGGAACGAACCAACAAGAAACCCCGCGGGACTTTATTAAAGGCATAATTTACAATATAATATTTATACGATTACTATCAAAACATTTAAAAAGAGCCTTGTAGTGATCACCTCAGTCCCCGGGGGTTATTATCAATCATGCAGTCTTTAGTAGTATTACTAAACAATTTTTGCCTTAATATTTTAAGCCTTTTGATAGATAAGGTCTGCATATTATTTTAAGAATTCTATACGTGGTAGAGCCATAATGCAGCTATATTAGTACTATAACTGTAGCACGAATGGCTCTGCTTAACCGGAGAAGGACCATGCTCTCACAGAATACCAGCGTAAACTAGCAGCTAAACACTGCTGTGTTTGGTATGGTGAGTATGGAACCGGAGAACCCTTTTACCGGAAACGAAGCATTCTACCTTAGTCATCACGGGTGACTACGCATCTACATTTTGATTCGTAGTCGAGGATAGATGTAGATGTACACGGGCCACAGCAACTACTTCCCATCAGGCAGACTGTGTGCTCGTTTGTAACCTATACATATGTATCCTATAAAAAAACAACAGTCTTTAGCAGATGTGCCAGCAACTTAAATAAATATAAAAAATAAAATAAAGACAACTAAAGCAGACTGCATGCGGCGGCCGAACTTACGCAACTTCATTACAGCTTGTATTGATCTTTGCCAGACATCTGTCTGCCAGAAAGAGCCAACATTCGAAGCTGCAGACCGAGTGTGGCAGCATCGTTTCCGGGACACCTGAGGTTTTGAGTGAGATTGAGAGGTTCTATGAGTAGCTGTACACGTCCTCGTTGGAGCTACAAGTATAAGTAACACCAAGAGCAAACCTTATTCAACACTATATCGATGATATCCCGGACAGCAGTATAAAGGGTGATTAGAATGATTCTCCAGCACCCTAAAAACGGCAAAGATGCCTTGTATTCTCTTGGTGTTTCCGAAATCAAGTGAAAACCCAATAATTGAAGTCCTTCTGAAGATCTTTAATTCCGTTCCCATGGTTTCACTAATCCGGAGGCGTTGAGCAGAAAGTCGATAGTCTTGTTCCTCAAAAAAGGCGACGACGTTTTCTTGAAAAATTTCAGAACGATTTCCCTTCTGAGCCTCGTCTACGTACTATTTTAGAGAGTCATAACGAAAGGTCTTGCATGCAGACTAGATGACTTCCAGCCTCCCGAAGAAGCTGTTTTTCAAAAGGGGTTTAGCACCATAGACCACATACATACCATTCGGCAAATTGTACAAAGGTCCGAAGAGTGCAATCTACCACTTTGTCTTGATTATGAGAAAGTCTTTAATTCCGTCGTATTTTAGCAATGTTGCAGTTTCTTCAGCGGTGCCAAGTTGATTGTCGATATATCGAAAATTTGAAGTGTTTCTTCAGTATAGCTACGATAGCTACCCGAGTACAAAACCAGAGTACAAAACTTATCCAACTGCAGAGAGATGAAAGACAGCACGTTTTATCCCTGAAACTCTTCACCGCTGCATTGGAAGTCGTTTTCAAGCTACCGGACCGGAAAGTATACGGCATTAACATCAATGGCGAGTATATCACTCACCTTCGATTTGCCGACTATATAGTTAATTTTCTTACGACAACCTAAGCACTATGCTCAATGACCTCAATAGTGCTTCCCAACGGATAGTTGGAGAAGCTTAAGATGAATAGAGACGAAACAAAGATCATGTGTAACGTCCATGTTACACCTATGCCGGTAGTTGTTGGGAGCACTAAGCTCGAAGTTGTTGACGAGTATGCTTACCAAACAATGGGACAAATAGTCGAACTTTGACCGAGAGGTCATTTAGTGGATTCAACTCGGCTAGGTAGCATTCGGTAGATGACGACACATCTTCTCGTCAGGTTACCTCAGAACTTTAAATCAAGATTGTATAACCAGTGCGTGGTGCCAGTGATGACTTATGGATCTAAGACGTGGTCCTTCACTGCTGGTAATTTACGTCTATATGAACAACCTTGATCATTAAATTACTTATCAGGATAAGAGTTAATACCATGATGCGATTATAATCACTTTTCGTTTGTACCAGAGTATTTATTAAATATTAGAAACACAAGAGCTGTTATTTTCACTTTAGCTATAATAGTTAGACATATTGTCTTTTTCGTAGATATAAGTATATTTATTTATTTATTTATTCTTTATTGCATTCCTTAAAACAAAAGAATACAAAGGTTGGACTTAATGCCTTGAGGCATTCTCTAAAGCATATAAGTTCCATAATCGTGTACATTATTTTGTTCTACCACCAATAGTTTTCACAGCGCACGCCAAGTGAGGTTTCAAGGCAATTTTTTGAAACCTTGACTTACTATATTGAAATTTCCTTAGGAAGTCCATTTTTTTTTAAAATAAAATATAGCCTATGTTACTCACTGATAATGTAGATTTCTATAATATTATTATGTAAGAATTTTTTAAATCAATTTAGTAGTTTTAGATTTTATCCATTACAAACAAATAACCAAATCTTTTGTCTTATTATTATCTTAGTAATATGTCTATATATAAAAATCAATTTCTGTCCGACTACTGAGACTAATCTCGCCAAAATTCGAAACTTTCTCTACCGATTCTGAGGAAATTTTTATGTGTGTTTTTAGTGGGTGTTTTTGATTCACAATTGGACCCGGTAGATGGAGCTGTTGCGAACCAGAAACCACTTGTTTTATTAGTAAATATAGATTAACAGCTTGACACACAACAAAATATAAAGCAGACTATGTTTTCCTAAAATGTGTGACTCCATTTGACTTTAACTATACTACTTTTTTATAGTTTAAAACAAATTTACAAACAAGCACACAGTCCACCTGATTGTAATTGGTTACTGTGGTCCATACACATCTACATCCTCGATTAAGTATCCAAATGCAGATGCGTTGACACCCGTGAGGACTAAGATGTAATGCCTCGTTTCCAGTAAAAAGTTTCTCCGGTTCTCTGCACTCGTCATACGAAACACAGCAGCGTTAAACATTGTTTTACGCTGGTATTCTGTGAGAACATGGTTCATATTATAAATGCGAAAGTGTGTTTGTCGGTTTATTATCTTTCTTACACGCAGCAACAAGGCCAACTTTGACCGATTCCATCATGATTTTTTGTTAGTTTTAGGGCCAGAGCATTTTTATTCTGGAAAAAACACAGTTTCTTTGGAATTGATCTGGATTGTAGTTTTCTAATCAACTATTTATCTTGTCTTAGGTCTTTAAAAAAATATTAACTGTCATTTTTCGAAATTATTATATTATATTTTTTTTTATAGGATAGGGAAACAAACGAGCACACAGTCCACCTCATGGTAAGTAGTTGCTGTGGCCCATAGACATCTGCATTCATCGTCGTTTGCGAATCAAAATGCAGATACGTTGTCACCCGTGAGGACTAAGATGGAATGCCTTTTTTCCAGTAAAAAGGGTCTCCGGTTCTCTAAAAAAAATATATTAATGAAAAACGATTTTCCGACCATCACGCGGACAAAACTGCGGTCAAAAGTTTGTAATAATTAGATTAAAAATGTAAACTTCTGCATTGCTTTTAATATTTTACTAAAAACAAATTAAAGTTTTTGATAATTATAATTTAATATTATCATTGAGTTCAAATTTCATTAATATATTCGTTGAGAAATTATAATTTATTGACAACATAGATCAGTGATGCGCCCAAATACCTCAGTAGGCCAACGATTAAGTAACCGATATTAGAATTAATTCAGTTGAATATTATATCCGTTAGAAAAGGAAAGATGTACGTATAACCTGTTTGACGTCGCAGCAATGCTTCGTATTCAAAGTAACTATACCACATTGATATAAATATGGAGGAGATGACCGAAACTGTACAAACGAGCTTGGCTTGTTGGTGAGGAGACAAGCAAAGTTACGTGGTCAGCGATTAGCTAATAACCATGGCTACATTTGTAAGTAAATACGTTTCACTATAAACCAAAACGTGATAAACTTGAAAAACTTGAAACTAACAGAACCCTTTTATATTTTTCAGAAAAAATTGGCGTTTTTAGCAATCTTAGTTAGTAGCAGTAATGCTGGTATCCTACATGATAACAGCCACGGAAGCCTCTCTGTCCCACCGCCGCCACCACCACTAAATGTTCTACACGCGCCTAGCTCATTTTCCGCCTCTTCGAGCTTCTCTCCTAACAGTTTTCCATCCGGGTCTTTACCCTCGGCTACGTTCTCAGGAAATGGGTTCATCGGAAGTGGTTTTGCTGCCGAATCTCTTGAAGGACATGGTGCCGGTTTCGGTGCATCTGGAGATTCCGGGGCCATACTTAGTGCAGCAAGCTTACCTGGCGCTACTGGAGTTAGTGGACCTTTGGGAGGGCCATTAAGCGGACCTTTTAATGGACAAGGACCTTTTCTAGGATCATTGGCAGGAGGCGATGCCCCACCTCCAGGTCTTAGAGCACCCGTCATCAATGAAATACACGGTCTTGCCAACAGAAACGGAGCCCCAACTCAATACCGTGTACGCGATGAACCCTATCAAGTTCTGCGTGAAGTTACTCACAGAGTACCTCAGCCCGTACCTGTGCCTGTACCTCAACCTGTTCAAGTGCCAGTCCCGCAACCTTACCCCGTCCAAGTTCCCGTCGTCAGGAATGTTCCAGTTCCAGTGCTCAATGTTCAACGCGTGAATGTGGACAAACCAGTGCCTTACCCAGTTGAAAGAATCGTCAAGGTACCAGTCGAGAGAGTTGTTCAAGTTCCGGTAGATCATCCGGTGCCAGTTGAGAAGATTGTTGAAGTCCCCGTTGTTAAGCTGGTGAAGGTACCAGTGCATGTGGTGAAATCTTACCCCGTCCCGGTAGTGAAAACAGTCCATCACAAGGCGCACGTTAGTCACGGCCACGGCTATGCACCAGGATTCGGACATAGCTATGGCCACGGACACGGCTGGTCGCTCTGGTAATTAAAATAATATACCTCATCTAGCATCATTACACCTCTCTGCTAGTCCAACTTTTGTAAATATTTGACATCATTAGCTCATCGAGAGGCTGCAATGTAGGGTGATAACTAAGTCATTAAGTTAGGTCAATGAATTGTGTATTTGTTTATTTTTTTAACCTCGTTTTGTACATAGTAATATAGGCTTTATTACTTTATTAAAACGATTATCCAAAGAAAATGTATTTTACTTAAAAGAGACAAACCTTATTTGTTATCTGATCATAAATGTTAAAAATGGTGTTGTAGTTGTTCATGAGCGGTGGTAATCACTTACCATCAGGTGAACCGTATGCTCGGTTGCCCCCTCTACTATTAAAAAATTGCTAACTGAAGTCACATAAATTACTAATCAAATCCGCCTGTCAATCGTGGCAACTAAGGCAAAAATGGTCCTTGAGGCAATCTATGGTGGACCATAGGTTCCCTCAAGGAGGGTTGCCTTTGTTCAGCATTGGGTTACGATAAGCTGTAATGAATGAAACAATCATAAAGTAATCATTTAAATTAGTATTAGTTAATATACATATATATATATATATATATATATATATATATATCTACATGTGTGTGTGTGTGTGTGTGTGTGTGTGTGTGTCAAGCGCCTAGTCAAAATCGCTTATGAATTACTTTACAGCACAAAGTTTCACATACACTATAACAACTTATAACCTACTTATAATAATAAGTAAATTAGATTTCTACGGGTTTATTTATTTAAAAGCTTCAGTAAACTCCACATACTTAACAACATAATTTGCATTGTTGCAATTTGCATATTTGGCATTGTACGTAAGGGACACGTACTTTCATGTCATAAACCAAATTCTTTTGCGCGCGTCATAACCTTCTTATTTAACTACAAGGCTTCGACGCTCGATAAATGCTCGAGAATGCCGAAACTAAGTTCCGCTGCTTGATAACGGGCGAAGTAAGGATGAGAAATAGGCACATAGTCCATCTAGTGGTATGAAGTTGATGTGGTCCATATATCATGTATAGACACTACATCTATCTACCATTAAATTTAAAAGGTAGATGCGTAAAATATGAAATCCGTATAACTCTTCTAGCGTCTAAATGATTTGTGAATGTATACATATGTAAATAAAACGAATACTTATGAAAAAACAGTAATGTATTTTTTAAACTTATTCTACACTTTTGACAAGTGTGTTTTCAGATATAGTATTCTCTCTATTTGAACACACTGTTTTTAGAACTTTTAATGGTACATTTTTAGTTTTGTTTTTATTAAAAACTAGCTGTTCGCCGCGACTTCGCCCACGTGGAGTTATTTTTCGCGGAACCCTAAAATAAAAGCAGCCCAAGTTACTGCTTATAACATCAGCTATCTGCCAGTGTGTATAAATATTGACAAATATTGACATTAATATTTATACGATACTAACGTCACTCTCTTGTTTTGCCTTCCCAGTGGAACCCTTCCACAAACACTTAAACTTTATGGTATGGTATTAAAGTTCAAATTGACTTTTAAGTATTATTACGAATCTTTTGTATGGAAATATAGAAAATTGTTGTTTTTAGACTTTTTCAGGCAATTTTTAATTTTTCTCTCCGTAAGAACCATCTTCGTACTTCAAGGAATATTATAAGAAAAGAATTAGCGAAATCGGTTGAGCTGCTCTCGAGATTTGCGCTTAGCAACACATTCAGCGATTCATTTTTATATTATAAGAAGATATTGAACAAGAGCTATTTTGAGATATTTAAAAAATTAAAACGGGAGCTGTATTTTCTTTCCCAAAATGCCGCTCCCTTAAGTCTAGTTTTGGCCTAATCGTGGTTTCCCTTTGAGTTGACCTCTTCGTGCTACAATACAACTACAATGGCATTTTCACATATAAAAACTGCCCTCACAATTTGCCAACACAGCGTGAAGAATTTAGTAAAATATTTAAAATCATGCACAGTAAGTAAATTCTTAAATTGGTTTATATCTAGTGGTGGATTAGGAAGGGTTAATAAAGACGAGAAATACGTTAACAATCAAAGTTCTTACTAAATGTTCTGTTATTAAAAATAAAATTGTAATTAATACTTATACTTATATTAATCTCATCAACTCAGCCCTGTAAAAAAATAAGCTTAAATAAATTTATCTAAACAAAATATAATAGGCTAGGCTAGGCCATATTACATATAACAGTGAAACTTACCGACGTACAATAAACTATACTATATAACGATAAAACTTACCGATAAGACATTACACACATATTGACACAAAGACATATTGTTATAAGACATTGTAAAAATCATATATAATGCTGACCGTCAGCAAAAAATAGTGAGTAATAGAACTAAGTCATCTGATAATGTGAGCGTGCCACAAGGATCAATTTTAGAACAATTATACTTTTTAAAATATACAAAAATGATATTCCTTTCCACACTAAAATACTCGTACCTAAGTGAAACAGTATTTTTGCTGAACTCTGTTTAAAATTGATAAAGGTAAAACTCATTTCGATATAAATGATGCTGTATCTCAACTATATCACTAGTTCATAACTAACAACTTGCTTTTGAATACCAATATAATGAAATGCATTAAATTTGCAGCAGTCAAATTACTCGTATAATAGACTCCACAATATTTCTTGATATCACAATTGCCTCTCGCCTGTAATGAGAACCTCATATTATTGCCTTGTCAAGAAAACAGTTCCGCCGCGTATGTGGTAAAAAAGATAAGGCTAGAGATGTTTTATTGAAAGATTGGTTTAATTCAGCTATTTTTCCAGTGTTATGGATTTATTATTGTGGAGATCAGCAACTGATATTGAAAATATATTTACTCAACAGAAAATGGCTGTGCTATTTACAATATTAAATCAAGGGACTCATTCAGAAACCTTTTTGAAGATATAAACATCTTAACTTTTACATTACAATTAATTATGGACTACATTATTTCTGTAAGGTACTATTTTAATAACTTTGACAAAATGAGTGACGCCTATAATTTTAACACGCGCAATAAATCCAAAGTTATTGTTTATTGTTTTTAAGTACAGACTTCATAAAACTAGCGGTTCATTTTTGGGTACAAGAAGAGTCTCTGTAATATTACTTATGAAACAATGATATTATAAATTAGATGACAATTAAAAGATAAGAATGCGTCGACGTAATAAATTTCCTTAGAATTTTTTACTTATGTATATATTTTATAAGGTAACATTGTAACTGTTGGGAGAAAAATAGTCTACTTATAAGTTTCTTCTCAAAAGGTCTACCCACAGTAAGGACTTGTTGAAGCATTTGACTTTCAAAAGGTACTTTGTAAAAAAAAATCAGGTTGGTAAAAATTTTTTTGCCTACATCCGCTCAATGAAATACGAAAACGTATTGGTGACGGGGATAGTGAACGCAATTGAGGGAGGGCAGGAGGTGCTCTTCGAACTAGGTTTAGACATCATATTATTTCATTGAGCAGATGTAGGCAAACTAATTTTACCAAATTCAATATAATGGATTTCCGCAAAGTACCGCTTGATTCTGTGGATTTCCTTTGTAAAAGACAATGTTCAATAAAAATATTTTTCTTTAACTTCGACATTGAAATAATGTTTGGGAATCTTCCTCATTGTAGACGAAGTTTTATAATGGGCCGATGTTTCAATTTTTCAAAATACAGCAACGGCTTCGTTTCTTAAAAAGAGTGATGCTAATGACTCCAAACTTTGCCAATATACTAGTTAGCTACTAGGTGATTCCATAAAGAAGTCGAGCGAGGAAGAAACCTCCTGATGAATCGCTCAATGGTGGATCGCGGAACAGTCTGGATAGTATAGATGGTATACCAAATTTTGTCGAGATGTGTAATGGTGCAATTTAGCGGCTGGAATCAATCCAATTAATTTTACTGAGCACTTTCCAAGGTAAATGCGATAAAAATTTAACCGATTAGAAAGTACTCGATCGTCGATACTGAAGTGCTCTGACCCAGAGATGGGAACTCTATTCCATGTGAAGCCAAACTTGCGCCTTATAAAGTTGCAAGTGGTGCGCCGTCATGAAAGACTGATACTGAACACTAGAGAGACAGACTGAACTTTTTAGAGTTTAATTTAACATACCTTTCAAAATGACCACGGAATCACATCAATCAATATGTCAACGCTGAGGATTCCGGTAGTGGCTGAGGCAGCAAGGGGAGTGCCCTAAATTAAGAAGATAGTACTTTCTTTAATTTTTTTTGAAAACTTCATAATACGTAACGCAGAAATGACAATCACCATTCTCTTTTAATGGGAATCGAGATTCATCTATCATCAATTTAATTTTTTACAATTTCATGATGCCTAAAATATCTTCTGCAAATTTGTCAATAGCGACAAGCGGGTTCGCTACCGCAGTTTTTATTATTTTGAGTTTTATAACTGATAATTCAGGAAGCCGTTCCTTGTTTATCTCCATCTCTGTCGCTCTTGAGACGATGATATGGGATTCTCTTAAGCCGCCACTATACGGCACTAGACAGTGTATTGTACTATAATATTATTTTTTGTCTTTATAATAAATACGTTACCTCCTCCCCCACACTAGGATCATATTATATTATTTGTGGTGGTCGGACCAATACAAACGACTGCCTTGTAATAATATATCTTTATTACTACTCACCTAGGTGTACATATATTTATAACACTACTGGTTACATATCACTCATACATACCACTACATATTATATAAGATATTTTCGTATCTTGTATG